TTTTGATGGCGCCAGACAATCATCAGAACAAAAATTAAACAGATTGCCAGACTCTTTCCCCCCCACCTCCGTATCTTTTAAGTGGAGTACCAATATTTTCATGATGATCTAATAATCCTTTAATTACTTGAATGACCAGTCTTTTGTTATTCTTCATCACCTGCCTCTCTCTTTTTATAACAAACTCCCTGACCGAAAGGCAATGCTGCAAGCAGCTTAAACTCTGTTGCAATTAAGACTCACCTTTGGAGCTAGGGCATGCAGCTTTAAGCAGACCTCAAGTATGAAATCCAGAGGTTCAAACTTTCAAGGGGGTGGAGGGCTATTGCCCCCTAGCTCCCCATAAATGGTGCCCTTACCCAGAGGGTCAGTGGATGCTGTGGGGCAGAGAAGCTGGAGTGAGGGGCTGGAGCTCCAGCAGGGTGTCTGGGTCACTGCAAGCTCTGGTGGGGTGGGGTAAGGTCGCCATGAGCTCTGGTGGGGTGGCAGGGCTGCTGCAGCTCATTGGGTGAGGAGGATGGGGAAAGGAGTCCAGAAGGGAAGCTGGCACCCACACCTCCCCTCACGACCTTCCCTGGTCCAGCAAACTCCCTTGTTTGGGACCAGTCAGTTCCCCAGGGTGCTAGACTAGAGAGGTCCAACCTGAACTGCTCTTTTGGCAACACAACGCAGTGTTTTGTATTGCCAGTATTGTTTCTACAAACTAAGTGACTAATTCTGTTTAACATTATCAATTAGTATCACGCAGTTGTATTTAAAATGGAAGCAAACAATGTACATACAGTAGTAATCTGTCCACAAAATGGGGTCCATTCCCTCTTATCTCACAAGAACAGTGTCAGGATAGTTAGGTCTACACCGCACTTGCAAAATGTTCTGCAACTGCTAGGGTACGTATTTTAGCGTGGCTTCTTTTGTCAGGAATTGCTTACAAGTTCTCATGAGGAAAGGAGAGAAAGGAAGGGCAGAAATACTGTGGCAGAAAAATGAGACGGAATGTGACTGCACTAAACAGCTAAAAATTGAGTTACTGACTAAAGATCACGCCATTGATATGGGGGGAAATCTCCCTCAGAGCAGTGGATTGTTGTGGGTACACAGTCCTGAATTTATCATCATCAAAAGGGAGAGGTACTTTCTAACAATGAGTTTGACAGCCCCAGTTTAGATATTTCTGTGTTAAGTCACTTAGGTTACTGTCTGAATCTTCTTTCACAGCGCCAGGTGTTCGTTCCACTTTTAGGAGGTTACTATTAGCAGCATTAAAAATGACTTGGCAGAACATATTGTTTAATTAGATGTTATTAAAACATGCCACCCCTGAAATAACACTTCTAGGAAACTAATACCACACGGGAATCACACAGCTTTGAAGATTCAAACCCAGCTCTCTTTTGTTTATAATTCATCATTCAGGCACTTTAAGCAGCAATTTGTCACTGCGGTTACTTACATATATTTGCTGGGGATCTGTCCTCTCTCTAGCTTTTGAGCATTCTCATCCAGCTGCCAAGCCATCCAGGAACCAAAGTTCCCCTGTGGTAGAGTATCATCAACATACAAAATGTCATCCTTCTTAAAGTTTAAATCCTGCTCCACCTCTGCCAGCCGATCATAAAGTGCTCTGCAAAGAGAGACATAAATAGACGCTATAACTGGAGCCCCACCATCTCAAGAGAAGCAAGTGGTGTAGCTACTTAGGAAAATAAATGACTCTCCACTGGAATTGGTCTCTGATGTCCCAAAGGCTCATGTACTCACAGTGAAGTACCTAGTTACACTTACGATGTAGGTTGGAGGCTTTCAACAACTGCCAAGAATCAAGGACTATCTGAGATTGTGCTTTGAATTTCCAATAAAAGCAGGAAAAAAAGACTGACTTGCTAAGCCTCTCTCACACTTTGCATATAATGCTCAGCAGACTATTGTAGCCACTTTGTACTTGCCTTTAAATCATTTGCTACCACATGGGATTCTTGCTGGCAAAATAGTTAGGACACTAAGCTATTTAATGAGCATGTGAATACCTGATATAGAATCCATCTCCAGGTAAATCTTTAATCTTGTTGAATTCTTCTATTCTGTACTGAGTCTTTACTCTAATATTTTCTCCTGGCTTCATCATTTCCAGGTAGGCTTCCTCCGCTGTTTTATTTCGCATATCAACAGATCCATACTGTAAAATACAGAAAAACCCAAAACTCATGAGGTCTCAGGGCTCATGCTGTTTCTTAATAGACTGAAGGATTAGAATGGAGCCTGAAGCAGCGTGTGAAGTGGGAATTTGGTTCCCCTAATGGCAAGTAAACATGTAAAAGGAAAACTCACTACAGCATGACAATGAAGGTACCAGTCACAATGGCCAGTAGAGAGAGAGTAGGGCTTTTTAAATCCCTGAAGAAAACACACTAGATATACACAAAAAGGGAAAAAGCCACCTTACGCCCTTTGCTGTTCCAGAAACAAATGCAGAAAATCACAAGATTCCAAGGAGAACTTATTTAGGAATCCTAGAGAGACAAGGTAGATGCGGTAGGCCTGATATACCTTACAGTGTTAGGTCGATGTAAGCCATCTTACAGTGACCTAGCTATGGAAACATTTTTGCTTAAATGTGGCTCCCACAGATATCAATGCCTCTCTATGCTAATTGTAACACCACAAATCTGAGGGGCGTGGATGGTTGATGACACCCACCCCCAGCCAGAGCCTTCACACTTCTCCCCCACACCCTCACCCCTGTGCAGAGCTCTCTCCCATCCTCTGAACCCTTTCATCTCAATTTAGAGTACCCCTCCTCCATCCTAAACCCCTCATCCCCAGCCCCAAACTTGTACTCCCAGCCAGAGCCCTTACCCCCTCCTGCACGCCAACCCTCAGCCCCAGCCCACACATCCTCTTGCACCCTGAGCTCCACATTCCAGGCCCCACCCCAGAGCCAGCACCCCAATCCTGATTTTGTGAGCCAAAAAGTTTGCCATTTGTTGCTTACAGCGACTAACTGGTTTTCAGGGGCTGGCCCACAATGCCCACAGTCTAACACTACAACAGATACAAGGGTGTCTAGTAAGGACCAGGGTGGTTGACAGATTTTGTGGGTACCTGAGTAAAGTGTGTGTGGGGGGAGGGGCATAAAATGGAAGTGGTGGGGTCTCAAGTGGAAGGGGTGGAGCTAGTAATAGTCTCCCCCAGCCAGCCCTTCAGTGCAGCCCAGCACACGCCACCCAGGGCTCCAGTGGGGATTTGAAAAGCCTGGAGTGGCAGCTGGGAGCCCCAGATTCTTTTCAAAATCACCGGGCCCCGGGGCAGCTGTCCTGCATTGCTCCCCTGCTCCTCCCATCCCTTCCGCCCTCCCCCCAAATCAGTGGGCCTGGTGAGGACACGTACTGCCAACACAAGGAACCTTGTGTGTGCACATAATCAGGCAATTTTATAACTCTAATAGCTATATGCTTACATAAATCAGAGCTGACAATCCTATAGACAGGGCTGTAATTTCAATGTCATTAGGTGAGAGGGGCAAGCTTTCAAGCCACACAGCTCTTTTGCAGGTCTGGGAAAGGTGCTCCCAGAGTCACAGCAAAAGACATGGTGCAACAGATTGTTTAGCAGAAGCAGTTAGCATCTATGGTAACAGGGCCATTCAAGGCTGAGTGGCCCGTTGGCATCTCTGCAGTCATAGGACAAAATGAGGGTGTTAGTGGCTTACAGGTTGTTTTAAGAAAGCAAAAATCCAGAGTCTTGGTTCAGCACATGATTTTTATTTTAGGATCCCTAGGCAGATTAAGTGGCTTTGATTCAAGGTGTAAACTTAAAAACAAACCCTGCACATCTTCACCATATAAACCAGCCATCCTGCAGCGGCGGGGGGGAGGGGGGGCGGTATAATGGGAACATCTACTCAAGTGCTCAGATGGATTTCATCTCTATAATATTTAGCCAGCTCACTATCAATGAATTTATCCTCCTAACCCGGTGAGGTAGAGAAATATCCCAATTTTATAGATGGAAATAAGGGAAAGATAGATAGGGGGGTTGCTCAAGATCACAAGAGCAATCTATGAGAAGCCCAACCTTCTCTGTTACACAGATCCTTTCCTTCTTGACTCCCTCTCTCCTCTGCCCCCAAGAAGAGGGCTGCATCACAGGAGCTACTGTGTCCATCTACAGAGTCTGGGATGGAGATTTCC